GAAGGTGGATTTCCTCTGAGTCTACTTAGAAAAAGCTCAGTCTAAGCTATTTATTCTCACTGCCCCCCTCCCCCACACAGTGTCCCACTCTTCACAATGGCTTTTTCTACTTGGATCACTTTATTTTGTACTGATATCTTTTGTCTGTGCATCACCTTTTTATATGAAGCATCTACTGTTTCCATCCAAAGACAAAAGCCGGTTGTTTGTTGATTCTTGTATGTGGATTAGTTAAAATACCCGACAAAGGCAGTTTGACTGAAAGGCAGCTGACTCTAAGTGGTGACAGCGTACAGAAGCAGTGTTATGTCTGTATCCAGATGCACCGATCACCTTTTCTACATCATGAAGAGGTTAAAAAATCTCTGTACATAAACAAAACTGCCAGAGGACAGAAGCACAGCTCTGCCTTAGTATTTCTGCTTTGAGAATGAGTCTCTTTGGATTTGGAAAATGAGCTGGAAGAAAGAAAAAAACCACTGAGTCATTGATTGAACCAGTCACTGTCTAGAAATACACTTCTGTGCTGCAGGTCAGTAGAAATCCAATTTCTTCCCTCTTTGATCACAGTGAAAGTGATGAGGACGAGCTTCTGAAGCCTTGTCAGGACGGATAATATTGACATTAAGCAGCAAAATATAAAGAAGCACACACTCAGGTGTTATAAAAAACACAAGACAGACAAGGAATATGAATAAGCCACTTCTTCTGCAGAGAGCAAAACGGTAAAGAGACTTCTGGAGCACAAAATGCAGTCTCACCATATCATGTTTCATCATCTCCGTCATATTAAAGGCCTTTAAAAGAGAGTTGATGAAACTCTCAGACACACTGTGATAGCGTTCAATCATTTAACAGGAACTGGGTCATTCTCTCTGTCAGGATGAATGTCGGCTTGGAGTAAAAGGCGAGATGGGAACCGACAGCTTCATGACACCTTTCAACAGCAGATTACAGAATGAAGCAAGACAGTAAATCACGGCAAAGACGTGTTCTGCAGCTTCCAAAAATACATGACATAAAGTCATTACATCAGTTTACACTGAGCAGAACAACAAATTGTTAGTCGTGTAAAAGGCACAAGTCACAAGTGAAGAGATTCATCAACAAGTGCAGCCATAATGACTTTTTCTTTTATTGGCACTTAAACTCAGACATAAAATGTCAAAGAAGCCATGTCGGTAAAATGCAATGACACCATGCTTCTGTATTTTACTTCTGATTTGGACTAAAAATCCAGTAGTAACATCAATAAGATGATTCTGATTCAATATCCACCAAGGCTACGTCCTTTTGCTGTTTGGGTCACAGAGCAGTGTGTGAACGGGATGTCTGAGCGGATATGTACATTCTGAGGTGAGGTATGGGGCCGAGGAGAGAGGCCCAAGTGGGTTCTCCACCCAAATATCCAGAGCTCTCATTACCATCAATCACATTACAGCACTAAGGTTCACTCATAGAGAGAGTTCGTTGTAAAAGGTCGCCCCCTTGTGAACTTTTAAAGTAATGCTCCAGTTAACCAGTAGTCGTGGCTTTGGCACAGAGCCTTCAACCGGTGTGCACTTTTTAACATACATGCTATAATCTCATCCTTCAAAAATGTAAGTCAGCAATTAGCTTTTTGTCATTGTGAGTCTCTTTTGGGGCATTTTAATTATCTTTGTGGTTATTCTGTCTTACCTCAGCTCTGACTTTTAAACAAGACATGAACAGTCACTTCATACAGATGCCCTGGGTGCGCCTGACCTCCTGGACCCCAGGGCCTGTTCAGTAATCCATCCACGGCTATAATCTTAATTTTGATGTGCTATTATGAAAGAAATGTCAGACAGCAATTTGAGCCTTAGGCTGTGACACACATTAATGCTGAAGATCCAATACAGACACATGTTAGGCCACATTTCTCTGCGGTGCCTTGTCTGAAGTGTCTGTGTTGTATATACACTCTTTAGTGTCAGTATTTCCTTTCTGAGGTTTTGTGGTTGAACAGAAGTTGCAGCTTTTGGAGAGTAATCTCATCTGTGGAGGCTGATTTTCATTATTACTAAATATGATAATGATGCGTGTCGGTGGATGAACCTGTCCCATGTGGTAAAATGAAGGCCTCGCCATCTTGTGGCTGACCTCACAGTGAACTCTCCAGTGGCACAGCACAGAAACATCACCACTTGGAAATAACTTTGCTCTGTTGGCCTTTCTACACAGAATGAAGGCTTGTTTAATAGACAGACAAAAATAAAAGGTAGTGAAGTGCTGAAAGGAAACCTGTGACTGATGTAGACCTGTGGAGTGAATCAGTGACACAAAAAGCCAGAAGCAGGTGACAAGTCCCCTCACAGAGTGGGCACACAAGACTGTTCTGTTAAAACATGATACAAGCAATAAGAAAGGTTTGTTTTAATCAGGTTTTTGGGTGTAGTTTCTCCTGATCTGATTCCAGGGTCTAAGGCCAGAGGGTGCACAGATTGTAAAGCGCCCTGAGGCTAGTTTGTCATATTGTGCAATACCGGTAAAATGTGACTGGACTGGGGGAGCAACACTTCATGTAGAGCGACATATTATAACTTTAGCTGAACAGTAAAATGTGCAGAGGAAGCTCAGTCAGGCAGGTTATACCAGACAGACTTAAGTGGATGAGGCAGATTGAAAAACAGGCTGCAGGGGGAGCAGAGAGGCAGTGAAGGCGAGATGCACCAAATGCTTTCCACAAATATGCATTTCTCAGATTGTTTGAGTGTTAGTTACAGGAACTAATACAAGGAAATGAACTGTTATGTACAGAGGAATGTGGCATGCCATCAAAACAAACTTCACAAGTAAAACTGATTTTAAAAAGTTTGAAGAGATATTTAATGGCACAGAATGTTAAACACAGTAGCACATTTTTAATAGATCTTATTTTTGGATTATTGTTTTTAAATGTTTGCTTTTATTGTTTTCATGCGGATGCCAGGAAAACTAATGACTACTTTATGGAACCTACTGGGGATCTGAATAAAGGAAAAATAACTGGGCTTATAACCACTGTCAAGTCAGAGGCCAGTGTGGTCTCACTAAGAGTCCAGCAGCAGTGTTAATGACTTAGTCAGTTGGAAAACGATCTGGAAACTCTCCATTCGTTTCATAGAGAGTCACAAATGAAGATTTTTAATAAATCAGTCCCTCAAACTGGTGACCTGTAGCCTCAAGTGATAGTATCATTAGCTCATACCCTTGAACTGTGTACTGTTATTCCTTGAATTAATCATTTCTTCCCACATTTTAGTAAATCATACTCATGATGACTGACACTAACAAAACCATCTCTGACTGATCTCTGCTTCTGATTTCCCAACTGCAGAAACTTGGCAGCTCTTCTGGAAATGAACTTGCAAATATGATTTCTGCATTCAATGCCTAGTTATAAACAGTAACAAACACTAAGTTTTCTTTTTGTGTGCAATTGGACGGTTCAGTATATCATGTGCCGTACTGTGATAACAATAAACGAATACTACTGTATCAGCTGGTAAAAGCCCAGACACAGCTGTGATAACACCAGAGCTGAAACCTGCCACCCAACTGTGGATCCAAACCCACCTACAAAACAAACAGTGGTCAAGACAATCTGCCTGCATCTGATATTTATGTTGCCTTTTCTCTTAGAACCAAAGTCAGTTAGAACCTTGTGAGAGAGGTCACCTGCTATGTTTATGACGTAAATCCAGGACACACATGTATTTGCTTTTTAAGGTACAGTTCATCATCACTGGACTCTGGTATTAATATTTACCATGTCCAGCCTGAGCAGGGCGAGATATTTAGACAAAGCTAAAGTGATTTAGTAAAAGAAGAAAAATTTGTGTGTAGAAACAGTGTAAACAGATGATGTTCCAGTGGCAAAGCCGCTCCTGATCAGGGCATAGCAGGGTCAACAAAGCCGCCCTGCAAATGTTCCACAGCAGCAGAAAGCTCCTCCACCCAACCCACAACAAAAATATTGGTTATGGGCTCAGTCGTGCTGCTGGGTGGGTGTGCTTCTGTTTTTGGATGGTTTGAAATGCAGCTACACTGGAGCCTCCCGGATCCTCACAGAGCAGGCTGGTCAGGCTCAGTGCTGGATGTGAAGACAGCTTCTCAAAATATCTGAAAGTTTTGCAGGTTACTATGTTAAACTACTCTATAATATGAAGGAAATGTGTGCTCACAAACAGACATAAAACAAGATTATAAATAAACTGCCTTGCCTAATGCTCTGGGTGCCATTACTTTCCGCTATCAGACCCATTCTGTAGCCACATGTCCCACAATGCATCCTCCCTCACAGCATCTGCTTCCAACACTCCTGTGATGCATTCAAGTGCTTCAGCTTCTCAAGTCGCTTACTTGGCTTCTGCTCCACCTTTTGTGAAGCCTGTACAGCTTCCATCCATGTAGACATAAACCTGATCCAGCTCATACAAAAACACACAAAGCAGACAGCCGTGGCAGCGCTGCCTTTTTTCACAATCAAATTGTAATTTTTACAGTCAAATGTCAGATTAAAAAAAAAATCAATTACATAATCAAATATCAATTATTGGCTGAGGGCCCTACTGGACAGCCACATGGAGTTGTGGCCGCGCACATACAAAGGCCCCTGCAATGATGTAAAAACACCTTTATGAATATAACTTCTTCCTTACTGCAAAACATCATGTGGAATCTCTGGTATTCTCTTTCGGTGGGTGTGGCTCAACTCTCAGGCGCCGCTGGGTACAACCCCGCCTCCCCCCGAGGCAGTAATGTGTTTTAAGTGGGTTCTGTATTTTCCCAGCTTGGACTGTGAATCAAATTTCCCGAAACCCCTGAAGGAGGCATAAGCCACATTCATTAGCCTTCATTACCGGAGAGGAAAGGAGCGAGAGACACCGGGAAACGCTCTCACAGCAGCCGGGGAGGATAAAGCACAGCACCTGTATATATTGTAAGTCGTTTCCACATATATAAATGCCTATTTTGGTCTAATCTGTGACTGGGCGGAGATGAAGCATATCCGTTCAGCAAGGCAGCGGCAGTAGCGGCAGTGTTCAGTTTCCGGGTTTTACTGCTCTTTGTGCACACGGCACCGGACTGGTGCCGAGCGCACAAACCCAACGTGTTACTGTTTACCTCCAGTGTGTGCGTGTATGTTTCGGGACAAATTGAGACATGGATGGCGGCCCAGATCGCGGGAAATGGATTCTGTATTGTTTATGGCTTGTAATCTTAGGTAAATGAGGCCGAGACTTGGAGCCAGCACGAGGCCCGAGCCTGGGCCTCATCCGCAGCATCCTCCGAGACATTTAACGGAACAAGCGCGGCTAGCAGGACGCTAGCACAGCTACTATACCGTTATTAACATGGTGTGAAGACGGTTTCTTATAATCAGATCTGTTCCTGAATATTAATGAACATTCATCACAACATCTGTTTTGTTAAGCTAGTGTGAAACAGCCGATCCTAACCTGGCTTCACACCAAGTTCCATTCACAAAACATGCCTGTTTAAAGTTTCTCTTTCTATCAGAGTACGAATACCATCTCAAAATGACTAAATAACGTGAACTAATTAGTCTCAAGTGCTTCTTAAATACGGCTAAACACCCAACAAACCAGACAATTGGGTTTCTGTTTTTCTCTTCTGTTAACTCTTTCCATCGGTGTCCACATCACCATTAACCATAATCCGTTAAAGGTCACTGCATGTTCTGCAATCTTGTTTTCTGCCATGCAACACTGGTAATTCCATCCATGTGTAATCAGCTACATCGTGTACCTTCGCTTCAGGTGATTCAGCTGCACTGGTGGTTACACGTAGTACTTTTACTCAAGTGCATCTCTGAGGTATGTGTGTTTTAAGTATTTTAATTTGATACTACTTTAGATAGCTACTTCAATAAATAAGGGGAAATCAAATTTTTTTACTCTGTTTATTTGATAATTAGTTGTTTTTTTGCATATATGTTTAAAAAAAAAGCTATATAATGACCATATGAGATACAGTGCACTTTAACAAAGTGAATTAAACAACACAAGGGTATAATGTCTGTACATTCAGTTCCATCACATTAAAATGCTGCCTGTATTAAATAATGCACCAGTAATAATAATCCAGTTGTAATTATATGTTAAAAATATACTATAAGATTTGATTCTTATAGGCTGTAGTTACTTTATAAGCTTTAGTTACTTCTCATACCTTTAGTTCCCTTTAGTTACTTTCCATAACTCTAGTTTCCTTTAGTTACTTTTCAGTTCTTCATTTTCTCTTAGTTACTTTTCATACATTTATTTTCCTTACATTACAGCTGTATTGATGATTGTCCAGAACTACTGAGCTTTGGTTATTTTTAATACATTTATTTTCCTTGCTTATATATCTTACAATTGTATTGATGAGAATCAAGTGGTAATGAAGTAGAATCTGCTTACTTTGAATTCTGTAGAGACAAGATGTCTGCATCTCCAAGCAACCAGACAGCCTATTTTACATTTTAACAAAGACCTGTTGGCCTGTTTTGCACCCACACCTAGGCCCACTTAGCATATCCCAAGTTCTGCTTTGTCATGGGGTGTCCTGCAGAGACAGGGGGCTCACAACCTGAGATGAGCACCTGACCCGTTTAGCATACTTATTAGCATCACACACACAGGGGGCCTGCAGACCACCCATTGTTCAGTGCTCATTGATCAAGATCAAGCTGCCACCTGAGACACACACACACACACACACACACACACACCTGACATACCTGGATTTTGCCACATTCCAGCAAGGAGGTGTCAGCTTCTTAACTTAAAAGTATTGTAAAAACCTAACTTGTGGTTCAGAGGATGGAATTCCTGCGGGAGCTCTGTCTCTCTGATCCCAGCACTGTATGGACATCACCTGTGCTCAGACTTCCAGTAAACTTTCGGTTGATCTTAAACAGTCCTCTCCTGTCTTCACTTCTCGTGCTTCCAACAAAAGAATTGGGTTAATTTCTAATACTCAGGGGCCATTTTGCCTGTATAGTGAGTACATCTCTTTATAAGTTTTCTGAACATACTTATGTACTAACCTTTGAATGATACTTGTAAAGGAGTATTTTTTACATTGTATTAATATTAATTTTAAAGTATTCACAATACTTCTGCCACAAGCCAATAAAAGAAGTGCCAAGTGTTCCAGTTAGGCCAAGTGGATAGTGCGGTAGAGCTACACTATCTTGTGCCTTTGTGTTGTAAATATAAACTCTAAGTTATTTCTGAATATGACTTGCAAAAACAGTGTCACCTGTTGTTCAATTCTCAGTTTCACATCCCTCTTAGAAAAACAGGTTTTTATTCTTTCCAGTTTTATTCTTAAGCTGGAGCTGCAATAATAGACTGTTACTCCACCGATAAGATGATGATTATTTGTTTTAAGTCAGTCAGTTTCTTGAATTTGAGGATTTATTGCTTTTTTATATAATGGTGAACATAATATCACTGGATTTCAGGCTGTTAGTCAGGCCAATCAGGCAATGTGGCGATGTGTTAGGTATTTTTAGTCAGATAGAAATTAGACAGATACTTTATGTATTAGAAATGTTTAGTGGAGATAGGATGTCTGTTAAATGCTTAGGCATGCTTATGAGTTTCTACAGGGTACATCTGGTCAAGGATAACTACAGAGAAGAGTTGATGACTGTCAGTAGACAGGGTGTTTAATATTATTATTATGACGTGTATAACT